AGCCTGCTTCTCCCTCTCCCACTCCCCCTGCTTGTGTTCCCTCTCTCGCTGTCTCTCTCTCTGTCAAATAAATAAATAAAATCTTTAAAAAAATATGCATATGTATATATGTAATTTATCATAAATATATCTGGGCTAGACAAATGTCTATTATAAATCTATGTTGGCCATGAGGCAATATGCCTACAATTGTAGTTTTCAGATCTATAACATAGAGCTAGTAGAAGCAATGCTCAAAACAGACAAAATGTTCTTGAGGGTAAATGTTTTCCCTTGCAAAGTAATACCACATTTAGCACCCACCCAATACTTAGAGATATATGACCACTGTGACTAAAATGAGGTGAGAATGTATTGATTTCACTTGCACATATAGAAATTTTAGATAAATTATTATTAAATTTGTAAATTAGGAATCATACTATTATTTGTTTATTTCAACTGACATGATGAACATGCATGAGGAGTCTCCCTACTGTGGATTAAATATTACCTTTTAGGAAACTGCTAAGTCATGTTCTTTTCAGTTTATCAAAAAGACACAAATGTCCATTCTAGTTGTAACAATGAAACTCTGCTTTTTCTCCCTAATGACTCGCATGCTCTTCATTACATGGATAATAAAAATGGTAGAAATATTCTTGAAAATCTTAAAACCAATGAAAATCTTAAATCTTACCAAACATTAGGCCATGCAACAAAGTGTTTTAAGGAAAGCACCTGCTTTCCAGATGGCCACTAGCTTCCCAGCTAGCGAATAGCTCTTTCTACTCGTCCACCCACCCACCCTCTCCACACCCTCTTACTTTTCTTCTTTGGGACATTTCTTTATCCAGCTGTTGTCTTGTAAGAAAGTCCTTCTTTTGTTCACCTCATGAAAACCCTGTTGCCTCAATGTGGTCCCCTGAGTGGTACTCTTCATATCTATCAACAGAAAAAATGAAAAAAAACAAACAAACTGGGAGATGCAATCTCATGGGGTCAAGTGTGAGTTGTTAACCTGGGTGTCTTGAGAGGCACATCTGATTGGCCAGCATCCACCTTGTAGGCTGAGAAGTTCAGCACTGTTTCAAAATAGGATGCGCTGATAAGAGAGAAAAATCCCATACCCCAGAGATAACATATAAAACTGCTCAGGTGCCAAGTGAAACTGCCGGGACAGCTCATGAGGTCCTGTATGGCACCCGGGAATACAGAACCACAGGCGTGGGATAAACCAAGGCATGGTTTGGTGGTTGACCATTTTATTTAAAAAAAATATATGCTTCAGAAGTACATACAAGAGAGAAAAAAAAAAAAAGAAGTACACACAAGACTGCTTTACAAGTACCTAGTAAAGATAGTCAAGAAGTTCTGGTGCTTTTGATTATAAGTAACTGAATTCTTTAATCTCAGGGGAGTCAGAAGCACAGAATGTCCCACACACAAAAGAACATTTTTATTGATTTTTTAAAAAATCTTTGCATTGCAATTACATGAATAAAAGCTATAGCACTCCTACTTTTTCCTTAAGCCTAACGTTGGCAGTTGCTTCTAAGCATTCTATATCTATATAAAAGAATTAAGAGCTATGAGCTGTTTTTCTCAGATTTTTAAGTTTTCTGAGTAATGAAAATATTATCTACATTACCATTTCCTGTGGGAGACATTTTTCGCAAGGTAGAATTGGACATGCTGCCTTCCAGTAAGGATCTAAAATAAATATTTGGAGGGGAAAAAACACAACAATGACTCTAAGAATTTACAAGTGATTCTTTCATTGGTAATGACATTTTTCTTTTTTTTAATTTAATTTTATTATGTTATGTTAGTCACCATACAATACATCATTAGTTTTTGATGTAGTGATCCACAATTCATTGTTTTCATATAACACCCATGCTCCAGGTGCAGTATGTGCCCTCTTTAATACCCATCACCGGGCTAACCCACCTCACTCCCTCCCCTCTAAAACCCTCAGTTTGTTTCTCAGAGTCCGTAGTCTCTCAAGGTTCATCTCTCCCTCTGATTCCCCCCCCTTCATTTTTCCCTTGCTTCTCCTAATATCCTCCATGCTATTCCTTATGTTCCACAAATAAGTGAAACCATATGATAATTGACATTTTTCAATGACATTAAGAAAGTCCCATGACCTGGTATCACAAATATATGACATCAAGTGCCCCCTAAGAACCTGAGAGTTCTATTCCAATGTATTTATTTTACAGATGTAGAAATTGAGGCCAAGAGCAGTGAATGTCCCCAGTGTTATCAAGCAATCGGCTGAATGAGGCCATCAATTAACTCATTTATTCAATCAATAAATAGGCATTGGGTGTGTATAGTGTGCTGGGCACTAAGCCAGGAGCTGGAGACAAAAAGATGAGTAAGAGAAATGTCTGGTCAGGTCAGTAGGGAGACAGAGACATGGAATTCACAGCACAATACGCAGAGTGCCTCTGGGGAAGCCAAAGTGAACTCAGGGCTGCATTATGACTTTGTGAGTCCTAGGCACTTTTGCTTTCATAGGCTTCTTCCTTCACATTCACACAGAGACACAGACACAGACACACACACACACACACACACACACACACACATACGCATGCACGCACATGCCCACACAGTTAAAAAGTATATTTAGAGTTGTTAATATAAAGATGAAAAGTTATCCAGGCTGGCTTAATTAGCATACTTTCATTATTATTATAATATTCATATGTTTTCTTCCATTGTTAAAAGGTATTAAAATTAGAACCTTTTTGTAGGGCTCTAAAGGTATCATAGGCCCTAGGCACTGCTATTTCTGTTTAATGGTTAAGTTGGCCCTGGGTTTCCCTGAATGTGGGATTTTCAGTTTTAAAACTGAAAAAGTCCTGAGCAAATGGGGATGGCTGGTCCCCTAGGTGGGGCATGAGGGTTTTTGCAGAATCCATCCAACGGTACAATGGATGAAATGAAGGAGGGACATTAGATCTCAAGTCAGAGGCAAGTCGTAGGCCCAGCCTTATCACATCAAAGTTCTGTAATTGAGGGGCACCTGGGTGGCTCAGTAGGTTAAGCATCTGCCTTCAGCTCAGGGGCTCAAGTCATGATCCAGAGGTGGGCCTCCCTGCTCAGTGGGGAGTCTGCTTCTCCCTCTCTCCCAGCCCCTCCCCCATGCTTGTACACATGCACTCTCTCTCTCTCTCAAAAAAAAATAAATAAAACCTTAAAAAAAAATTTCTGTAATTGAACCACATAATCTCCCTGTAAAATGGGCTAATGAAACCTGCCATCATAGGTTTGTGATGATTAAATGAATAACGTACACAAACATCAATCGTTAAACTATAAGTGCTATTCCAATTTAAGACCATACTATCAGGCAGCTGTTCATAGGTTTAACTCAGGGGTTCTAAAAGCCCCTGTCTCTCACCTTCTGATGCAAAAGTATCTCCTACAATAACTTGCCGTAGGACCTGAAGTGGTAAAGACACATTCCTTTGGATGACATCATCGTTTTCCTTGGGGCCTTCTTTTAGAATGTCCATACCCCAACCCTAGTGTAGGTGAGAAGTGGAATGTGCTGGTGCCCAGACCAGGTCCCCTCTACCTATCTCAGGGTTGGCACTATGGGCTCATGACTCCTGGTGGGGCTACCTGGTTACACACCCTCCCCACACGCTACAACTTACAGCCAATGGTAGAATGACCCAGGGCAAAAATGACCGTTTGCCTCAAGGTAGAGCCAGTTCTGCAGGTGATTTATGCTTCAGAGGTCACTATGGGATCAGGCCGAAGCTAGACTAACAGAGAGCATATACCTTGCTCAGCCCTTCCCCCTGCCTCTACTCCCTGCTTCCCTTTCTCCTTCCTCCTGAGAGCCTACCCTCAGTAAGTCACAGGCACCCACATTCCTCTCAGGCACTGCTTCTAGGAACCCAACCTAAGACTAACCACCAATTTAGTCAATCATGGCATTATCGTCACAGAGATCAACAGCTGTTCACATCACTAATAGCTGAGAGTCTGAGGGTCTTAGTGAAGTTAGAAAGATCTGCATTTAAAGGATGCTATTTACTGTTACCTTGAGTGTGTTGTAGTTCAGCTCCCTCATCTATCAAATGAGGTGAAACAGCTGTTTTGAAGATCAAATTAGATGACATTTGTAAAGTGTCTGATTATTGCCCGACACACTGAAAGTACTCAAATTTTTAAAATATTTTATTTATTTGAGACAGAACATGAGCGGGGTGGGGCAGAGGGAGAGGGAGAAGCACACACCCTGCTGAAAGGGAGCTCCCCCAATGTGGGGCTCCATCCCAGGACCCCAGGATCATGACCTGAGCTGAAGGCAGATGCTTAACCAACTGAGCCACCCAGGCGCCCCATGAAAGTGCTCAGTTTTTAGCCTCATGCCTCTATCATCTTGGAAATTAGAGAACAAAGACATAAGGCAGGTGTGGTTGTGTGTGGGGAGGGGATGGAACAGCCTTAAATTTGGGACACTGGGCATGCAGTGTGGGCAGCCTCTGGCTGGCCGTGTTTGAAGGTCACTAAAATTTGGCAGAAAGGGGTGGAAAAGAGGCATGTGAAGACAAATTTCAATCTCAACTATTTGTTCATTTCCCCTCCGTCTGGCCCAGCTTATCTGGGCTCTTGGTTAACCTTCTCCTGTTTCTCAATGGGCTCTGATAAATTCTCTTCCTGAGTTGGTGAAGACCTGGAGAGTTCATAGCTGATTGAACTGAGATTCTGCAGTGGGCAAAACGCTGAATGTATATTTGATGATTCATTTGCAAAGACTGAAAATTACACGTAAGACACAGGGCAAAGTAAATGGAGAAAGGCATTTTTATAATTGTCTATTTGTCTATCTCTCCCAAAAGACTGAGTGTCCCAGGGGCAAGACCTAAGTCTTTCCCTTCTATATTTCCCATGCCTAGAACAGAGTAGATGCTCCTTAGGTGCTTATTATGGGCTGATATATCTTCCCCAAAGTTTATATGTCTAAGCCCAGTACCCAGTACCTAAAGATATTACTGTATTTGGAGACAGAGCCTTTAAAGAGATGATTAAGTTAGAATGAGGCCATTAGGTAAGTCCTCATCCAACCTATCTCATGAACATACAAGAGGAGGAATTTTGGACACACAAAGAGACACCGGGGATATATGTGCACAGAGAAAAGGCCATTTGAGGACACAGAAAGTGGCCATCTGCAAGACACAGAGAGAGGCCACAGGAGAAAGCGAACCTGACAGCACCCCAATCTTGGACTTCTAGCCTCCAGAATTGTGAAACAATACATTTCTGTTGTTTAAGTCAACTGGTCTGTGGTATTTTGTTATGGTAGCCCTAGCAAATAAATAGAGTACTTATGGGAAAAGTGATTTAAATATTCCTAAACTAGGTCATTCAAAGGGCTCTGTGTCATGCTGTCTCTGACTTGTGCCCTCTGTGTCTTCAACTGTCCTACTGCCCGGGGGCCACAATAGCACCTGCTCTGAATGGGGTGCCCCCCAGACATTGTCTCATCCTCATCCTACACTCTGTGAGGTACCTATTATTACCTCCACCTCCCAGACAAGACACCTGAAGTTCAGGGAGAGGATGCAACACACCTAAGGTGGGAAGAGGCAGAAACTGCCTTCTAAACCAAAACCACCTCTTTCCATGGCAACCGGCAATAAAGCTCATCCTGAGTCATTGCAAGACTGGACCAGTACCCTGACATTACGGTGAGAGGAAAGGGAGACCCTGTGGTCCCCACCTGACTCCTGACATCTCAGGCTTTGGAAGTGCCATGAGCTCTGCCCCCAGTGCCTGGCAAGATGAGAACCCGGACAGCATCTGCAGCAGACAAGCCCTCACAGAGCAGGCTTCTCTGTGTGCTCTCTGATATTCTCTTAGTTATGGACAGATGTCTATGCAAAAACTTGTACAGGGACGGTCATAGCAGCATTATTCAAAACAGCCAAAAAGTGGAAACAACACAAATATCCACGGATGGATGAATGGGCACAGAGCATGTGGGATACAACATGAAAGTGCTATACTCACACATTTTACTCGGCAGTTTTTAAAAAATGATGTTTTGATACATACTACAACATGAATGAAGCTTGACGTATGTTAATGAGAGAAGTCAGACATAAAAGACCACATGTGTATGATTCTACATGGATGTTGTTTTTTAGATTTTCTTTGCTATTCTACCCACATCCCACCTCAATTCTCCTCCCAAGCAAGGCTTCTGCTGCCCCTTTAAGTTCTGCTGGGTAAGGAGGAGCATTCAGACAAGAATAATACTTTAGATGATCTTATAGTAATTTATAATTTATCTCATTTGGTTTCCACAAAAACATTTAAGAGTGATATAATTCCACGACAATATGGAAGGACCTAGAGGGTATTATGCTAAGTGAAATAAGTCAGAGAGAAAGACAAATACCATATGATTTCACTTACATGTGGAATCTAAAAAAAAAAAACAAACAAAACAGAAACAGACTCATAAACACAGAGAACAAACTGGTGGTTGCCAGAAGGGAGGGGGTGGAGGGATGGACAAAATAAGTGAAGGCGAATAAGAAGTACAAACTTCCAGTTATAAAATAAATAATAAGTCCTTAAGATGAAAGGTACAGCATAGGAATTTTGTCCATAATATTGTAACAACATTGTATGATGACAGATGGTGATGGCACTTACCATAGCGAGCCCTAATA